ATTTGTGCGTAACATTTGTTTATGAAATCGTGCAGGTCAGATTCATCACAACATGCTGTTGACGATCGTGGTGGGTTCTCCTGTTCTTGACATCTTGTCGGCAGACTCAACAATCAGCAACGGCCTATCATGATCGCATCTTCGACACTTCGGCGAGGATCTCCGTCCCCTCTTCGTTGCTAAACTTAGCAAACGGATGGGCTCCTCTGTCTTACCTCAAGAATACACATCAGCAGGACGGTCCTATCCGGCGGATATTTTTCTCCCATGAGCGAAATTTCTTCTCCTTAAAAGCCCTCAAATCGTATTCAAACTTCTCTAGTTTCCGATATGCCCAAGGAGTTTTTTTACTGTGTGCACTTTTTTCTTTTCTTCCACCAACTGGCTCATACAATTTGGAATCGCCAATGAGCCGGGGTACTATTCTCGAAAAAGTGTCTGCTGTACATTTGTCTCTCTTGATCACTATACAACCGCTAGGGAGTTAACAGGCCAAGGCCCATCTTTCCCTTAGGAAAACTGAAATGAACTGAACTGGATAACTCGCTGAGCACTCAAAATAAACTTGTGAGTTATTATTTGAGATACTTGAATTTATCTTCAACTGGATTAATCTAAATACTCGCGAGGTCTACTTGTAGCTGAAACGCCTTGGCATTGAGACTCTCCACTGACAACCTACGTAGCCAGTTAGAAGAAAACTTACCTAGAAGACTAGAAAAATATATTAACCTGTTCACGAATGGATATGAAGGTTCACGTTCCAGATGTTTGCATGAGTAAAGGAGAAGAGTTTTCGAACACTGGAACAATTTCTGCATCATTCTGATTATTAGGAGGGGTTTCACAGATTTCAATAATTCATTTGACCCAATTGTAAAACACACTTGATTGTGACTTGTGATTTTCCTTTACTATCCAAAGGTTGTTGGCCTCCAGCGGCTTTCCTACGATCAGTATTCGCGCAACTTGAGTAGAAGAGTATTGAGCGTTAAGAATTTTTGATAATTCAATTGACTCAGTCTTAGCAAATTCGGTGGCCTCGTTGGCCTTCGAACCTATGCCAGCAAAAGGAGGCTTGACTACAGCCAACGCTCTAGCCAACTGAGCTTTCGAGGTCCCACCACAACCATGAATTTAATAAAAATTGGGTTGATTTATCCACCTAGCCTACTTCACTTACTGAATCCACCTATACTGATACAGTAAGTCTACTGCCCAGGCAGGATTTCCAGGTGACTACCAGGCACACTTCATCATTAGGAGGGGTTTGGCAGAATTGAATAATTCATTGGACCCAATTGTGTAAAACGTAATAGCTCAGTTAGCTAGAGCTTTGGCTACACTAAAGACCTCCCGCCTCCATTGCTGGCATGGGTTCAAATCCCACCGAGACTGCCCAGTTTTTCACCATTTTGTCAAATAACTAATTTAAACCCGCCAACACTCATTACCATTCTACTTAGGTTGTGCGAATACTGTTCGTAGGACATGACTGACGTTCATGAAAGCCGCTGGAGGCCAGCACACTTTGGATATTAAATGAAAGTCACGAGTCACAAGCAGGGGTTTTTCATAACTGGATCAAGTGTATTCTGATTATGCTCATTACTTGGGCGGGGCGTTCCGATTCCCATACCACCATGTTAATGGAGTTATCATACTCCTTACCTACGTAAAATCTGTTGGGAGGTCTAGCCTGTTACCCATGGGGCAACTGTATAGGTCATCTCGATGTCCAGGAACCGTATGTTATCCGTTCACAACATTTTGAAGAAGTCAACTAAACTTCTTTGGGTAACAATTAAGTTGGTCTACCACCTTAGATACCCCTTGCCTCTAGTCCTGTGGTTTCTTTTAGTCTTAAATCTTTAGTTTAGTTTTAGTTTACTTTAGTGCATTGGTTTATATTTAAGTGAAATTAAGTTTATTTTTTAGTTTAGTAAGATACCGCGGCAACAGTAGCTTATGTATTCCCCCTCATTAATCCCTACTCCCAGCATTTTGTCCTCCAAAAATGGTGGTTATAAGGTTTTATGGGTAGAGAATTAGGATAAGCAGTGGAATACACTTTAATAACTACTATATGCATGTTTAATTTTATTGTATTTAGTAGTGTTGTTGATTTAAAGCTGTGAATTTTTCTTATCTGTATTATCGTTTAACTTGTTGCGGAAAGACCCGATTATCAAATTGCAGGTTTCTCGAAATTCATGAAAAAAATAAAAATGGTGGTTAGGAGGTCGTCCACAACAACTTACCGTTCTAGCTTTAGATTAGTATAGCGCCGCGGACTATACTAATCTAAATCTTCAAATTACATGCGGAACAACTTACTCCCAGCGGCCGCAGGAAACAAATTCGACTACATTTTTTCACTTGACACGTAGTTCTAAAAATTTCCTTCTTTACGTATCATATTTCCCCACTCTAAAGTCCCCATAACCACCGTTTTCGTAGGACAAAATGCTGGGACTGGGGGTATATGATGGGAACTACATAAGCTACTTTCGTCGATACCGCCAATGCTAGATAAACATAAATAACTTCTATATGCTAAACCATGAGAACTAAACTAAGGTAAACCAAACAAAACTAGCTAAAATTAAAACTAAAATTATACTGAAAGTAAACCAATAAACTAAAAATTAGACTTAAAAATAGACTATACAAATGCCATCCGTCTCGTAAGACATACTTTTGTGAAAAGGGGTATCTAAGATGGTGG